TCGTGCGACGGAATTATTCGATCCCTTCGATATTGCCCTTGGCATGTACATTACAGCCTGACCATAGCACAAGCAACTAATCGATGAGCCACTGGAATATACTGTTGCAACATTTCGGTGGTCTATCAGAACACAGAGGAAAATTAATTCCGCAGCCACGGAGAGAAATATTGAATAAAAATTATGCGTCTTTAGCGTAATTCTAGATGAAAATGTGATTGCAGGAAATTTTATTTTTTAAATTAAATTAAATGAAATGAAATTTTTAATTTTTTAATTTTTTTTTATTTTATTTTACTTTTTTTTATAATTAAATTAATTTTTTTTTTACGGACCTGTCACGTAATTATTACTGAATATTTCTCTTCGTGTTGACATTAAATAATTAATTATCAATCTTTTTCGACAAGTTCGATTGAAAAAATTAGATCTCTCGGAATTCAAGACGAAAATGTAAAACATAAAAATCGATAAAGAATTATTTTCTTAGTAAATAAATTAATAATTGGGTAATATTAATTATATTTAATTACCCACAGATTAATCGCGAGTTCAACCAGTTGATAGAAATGCACCAGTCAGAATTTTGATAGGATGTCACAATGATATCACTCGAAACAAATTGAATAATTGTTAAATTTCCGTAGGTACGATCGATATTGAGGAAAATTGTCGGCAATAATGACAGTGAAAAGCTCAATCATTCGATAAATCGGAGTATATACAGCCGGTTGGTCGGTTCGTGTATATAAAGAGATTATAAACGATAGCGAAGGATAATTACATGACAGCAATCGATAACAATTTGATGAAGCAACTGGTGTCTGAAGATAGGAAGTACCGACTGATTGGTAAATTGTCAATTTTACTCCATGACGATCTCCTCGTTTGTTGAATGTCGAGATACATCTTTCAAAGATAGCTTCTGATTGTCAATTATTCTCCTGCCTCAAAGAGAACCAATACAGATGGAAGAAGTACCCGACAAACGAGGAGAATTGGTGAAGCATAAACTTGCTGGCCTTTGCGTATTCATTTCACTCTCCAGCCCCTCAAATAGGATTACAGTAATGTCTTTTGTTCAAGCTTGAAGACTGGAGGGACCATTCAATGATGGGGAACTCAATCTCAAACCTAATGGAGTGAATCTAAAAATACTTGAGCGATGTCTGAAGTGGAACCTGATTCAGCATCTCCAGTTCCTGTTACCGTTCCTGTTCCAGCAATGGTAACGATTCAACCACCACCGCAATGTCGAATGCTACGGTCACCAAGTCATGAGAGCGTTACGACGGATTTGTCCTTGTTCAGTGTATCAATAGCCAGTGATATTAAAGGAGTCAATCGTCTTGTTCCTTTCAAATCATACAGTGATGCCCAGCTGGCCGGACGTGGCCCATCACCAAATCCGGATGCTCAAGAAAATCAGAGCAACAGGTGAGATTGCCCTTCATGTTCTTTACGGAAATGTCTCTCCTGGTATCACTGGAGACAGCTTCATTGATCTAGACTACAATGCTACGAGATATGCCAATAGACTAGTTTCTCAAACAGGATTTCTCGTTAGGTCAAGAGATTCGATTGAAGAAATTCTCAAGTCTATTTACTCAATGCAATCAGATTCTAACAATTAGAGTCAATTAACTTGCCTCAGTCTTAATAGGACCAATTACTACTGATTACTCAACGAATAATCGAACAATCGACGAATCATGAATCGATTACATTGTTGCAGACCAGCGGACATACCCGAGATTCTGTGGTTTGAAGAGGAAACCGAACTGATCCGCAGTTGCGGTGCCCTCTCATCAGCTCTCGGTCTCCAAAAAAGTTTCAGTACAACGGATGTATTTCAATTATCATCTCCAGATGGATCTTGTCCACACAGATT